TTCTCATTACAAATTATAAGCAGAGCCAACAAGGACATCTGAAAACAGAGTTAGGTTTAAAGCAGGCATGGGATAAAGTGCAATGGAAAAGTTAGTATCTTCTATCGTCCAATTATACCCACCGTATGCTCCTTCATGATCTGGTAAACAGAAAAATTTGTAGAAAATTCAGTGTGAATGATCTAACATAATGACCTAATAGTTTGTATGAAATACGTCAGCTAATGTTCGACTTAACGGCAGATTGTATTTGCAAACAAAACTATTGTATCAACCAAAGAATTGCAACATGTAACTCTAAACGAGACATTCGATATCCTTGTTTCAGCAACTTATTTGTTAATAGCCTGTCTAGTTTTGAAAAGATGTTTGTACGTAGAACATGCTCTTGCGTATCGAATTCGAATGAACTGGGACACATAAACTCTGTATGCAAGTGATTATGGTATATTGCTACATAAATGAGGGAAGTTGACGATAGAAAGCTTGAATTCGTCGCCTTTATCATAAAGTTCAGTTGTCGGTTTGCCACCAATACCCTTTTTAGTAAAATTCAAAATATGAAACAGATGTTTCAGGTTTTGTGGTGTGTTTTATTTTAAATTCAATTAGATATATCGAATCAACGTAGGGATGAATCTGAATGTTATCAATTGTCGAATTGAAGGCAACAACAAGAGAAAGTTTAAATAAATTCTGCTTCATTAGTAAATATTAAGTGTATTTTCACGTCCAATTCGAGAAATGTTTACTTATATAGAGACTTCACATGCTTTAGAGAAGTGCCACAAGTTTTGACCTACGCATAGCGCTTAATACAACTCAGAGGGTACTCAGGTGGAATAAAAATAGCAAATTTTACAGTTGAGGGGAATTGTGAAAAAAAAAACAACAACATTGGCTCTTACGGCATAAAAGTGAGGGTACCAATCATTTCATTTAAGTTAAATGATCTTTTGGCTTTCTTATAATGTTGCTTAATTTTACCTTTTTGCGAATTTTATTTTTATTTTATCTTTTTACTAAATGTCTGCTTTTTTTGTTTACTTGCGAAATTTGTTTTGCTGAGGGGGTCACTGAGTAAAAACGAATAACATTAAATCATTCTGTTTTTAATTTGGTGTTATACATATTGAGGAAAACTTCCATCAAGACAACGAAAGTAACATAATCCGATTGTTTTCTCCGTTATTCTTTTTATTATTAATATTAATGGACAAAAAAGGTTTGTCTTAGCTTAGTCGCCTTACACAGTGGAAATCTGCATGTCAGGGGCAGAATACATCTGTGTCGCTCAATATCCAAGTTCAAAGAATACTTATGAGATTGAAATTTCGGAAGTAATTTTCTTCAGTTTTTAAATATAGACAAAATATTTGAATAAGCAAATGACTTTTTAAACGATACAAACAAACAGCTAATGATTAAAAAGGACGTATTGACTATATATCATATAGTTTGTTATATATTTATCATTCTTTTCACAGAAAAGATTAGAAATATAAAACATGTACCAAACCTGAATATCTAAAAAAAATTTCGTTTAAGTGACATTAATGAAAAACAGGAATATACATGTATATGCAAAATAAGGTAACCGGTGAAATAAGGACATATTGATATTTTAGTCTGAGAATACGATTTCAAGTCAAATAAATGGATACGAAAGTAAAATCACGTAAATTGATTGTTACTCTTATTGCCAAGCGGACAAGTTAAAAAAAAGTAATAAAGTCAAATGTAAAATTGTATATGCCTCCATACAAAACTACATAATCCAATAAAATATTTTTAAAAATAAAACAAGAATAAGAAAAACAAAATTAAAATGAGAAATAAGATAGCTACCAACCATATATACAACTGATATGCTTTATTTTTTAAATTAATTTTTCGCTTTTTTGTGAATACCATTTCAATTAAAACGTTAGTGTGTTAAAAACAGCTTCATCAAAATAATTATAATAACTTTCGGCGCATATAAATATCTAGATATGATGAAAAAACGTGAAACTAGCCAAGTGGCCAAAGTTTCGTTTTGTATGAACCTTTCTTTTCTTAACTAAATATAATATAAATTTATTAATGTTAGCTATGTTCTGCTAATGCTCACATTTTGCTTTGGTCTTAGATGGGAGCTGTCGATTATTTGAAATGGAAATGATACTAACTTAAGTTCTAATTGTCTATAAAATCTTATGGAATTTAATTAAACTTGTACTTATCGGATATTCAATAATCTCGACTAAGGAAATAAAAAATGAGTTTTATGCATCTACATGTACTTCTGTATTTTTCTCTATTTATACAAACCTTATATCAATGCACAGCGCAGATCATTAATGAAATCACTAGAATAATTTTATTACACATTTAATTTAATTTGAAATATTGTGTCTGTCATACAAGGAAACATTTAATCTGAAGCCTATGATTTATAATACTTTAGAAATAATTTTGTCAATGGAAAATATCAGAATTAAGGTTTAAATATAGATTGTTTGAAAACATGATTACAAGTACAATATTCATTATATCTTAATCAACATACAGGTGTTCAAAATATTTACACCCTGGGCTCTTTGAATAAAAATTTCTACTAATTTAGGCATTAAATTATTATTTATACCAACGTACTGTGATACGTATTTCTGAAAATGTGCATACTGAATATTGATTTTGCGCGTTTGCTTTAAAGATATGTATGCATATATCCCACTTATGATATAAGGTGCAAATGATATCCATATAAGCTCAAATCTTAGATTAATAACGGGTCATTTTTCATCTTATCTCTATACATTTTCTCGCAATCTTGGCGCCAGGTTTCATGCAAAGATGTTTTGAATTTCTTAACCAGTTCTAAAAGCACTTTCACAATTGTACAAATAACAGAAACTTTTTTATGAGAAAAAAGGAAGAAGTTCAAATCCTCTGTCAAAATGTGAATTATATAGTAAATTTTTGCTTACTTTTCTTTATGTACGCAATTTGTATAACTTATACTTAATAATGTGGGTTTCATGTATGCTTTTTAAGATAAGGTATGATGAATTTCCCTTTTATGCATTTACTTAATTTTAAATCAAATCATAAACTTAAAATCTACAAAATAGTCTCTAAACAATGACTACAATTGCAAGATGTTATCGATGAGTAATGAAATAAATAAATGTAAATATATAATTGTCAAATTTTCAGAACGTTCTGACCCATGCTCAGTACAAAGAAAAGTTTGGAAAGTCATAATTAAACAAAGTAAACGAAAAAAAAAAAGGTTAACAGATTAACCATATAACCCTATTTATACACCGTTTAATATTAATTTGGATGTTGAAATCGAGTCATTTGAAATGATTTCGGACGAATGTGATTCAGGTTCGGTCAGTCTGGTCTATCTGGTGAAGTCAGGGACAGGGTACTCGAAAATTTGACAATTATTTAGTACTTTTTACAAATTTTCATTCCTGATCTGTATTTATTTCCATTTCTGACCTGTATCTATAGCTAGCTCGTGGATCTCACACAATAGGAGATGTTCGTCTAGAATACGACACTGCTAAGAGCTTTGAATAATTTTTGTATATAGAATTTTTTTTAATTTAAATATATCGGATTTCCAACGTTTCGGTATGAGCGAATAGAAATACTGAAGAGACATCATTTGTCGAAATGCGCATCTGGTGCATTAAAATTGGCACCGTATAATTATAGATTTACACCATAATTGTGTAGATTTATAATGCACAATATCATAAATCTATGACAGCCGTATATTCAAGACGACGCAATCTGACGGATTCATAATGTCATGAATACAGGAGTTTTTTCATCAAACTAGTGGTTTTTCAATTCTTCCATCGTCTTCCAAATGAAAATCGTGTATCTCACTTGAATCAATGAACTGATGTATTCTGATTATTCTCTGTTGATTCAGTTTTTTTTTTCATTGTTGCTCACAGAGTTTCTACCAAATCAACAAATTATTATATGGTGTACACTTGTCCGTTCGGATGGGTGACGTCACTTTTTGGGGGACATTTTCAAAGATATAATTGACATATTTTCCATTTTCTTTTCCCTTAATATGTTTTCTATCTGTTGACTAACTTGTAATAAAAACCTTAGAAAATGACGTCAGCCATTTTAAGTAGTTTTGATGTAAATTCTATATAGTTTTGACTAAAGTTATGAAAATAAATTAATCCTTTAATTCAAAATACTTTTAGCATTTAAACCATGGCTTATATTGCACTATCTGCAATTTTGAAGACGGCGACTTTTACATAAAGTTTAAGTTAATTAAAAAACAATAAATGTACCAAAATTTTCTGACTTAGATTTAAATATTAACTATTTAATTATAAAATATGTATCTTTAATACCATAAGAAATTATATATATATATATATATATATATATATATATATATATATATATTATATAACCTTCTTATATATACAGCATAAATAAGCATTCTACGCGCGTTATTTGTCAGAAATTAAGATAGCAGTTGTTACTGTTCAAAATGTTGCAATTGTTTGACATTCAATGTCGTAATGACGTAAAAAAAAATATTAATTTAAACTTTTGACTTCACTGTCCAAGTTACGGTTATATATATATATATATATATATATATATATATATATATATATATATATATATATATATATATATATATATATATATATATATATATATATATATATGGAAAACGGACATCTTTTACCTAACTTTCAATCCCCTCTTGATCAGGAAAGATGAAATCTTTATCGAGTTAATGAAGCAGTGTTTATCACAGAGAGAGAGAGAGAGAGAGAGAGAGAGAGAGAGAGAGAGCATCTGATTCATTTTGGAACCGACCCAGTTCTAAATGTTTCTGATTGTTTGATAGCTGTTTACATTTTGTTGTTTTTATGATTCATATTTTTATTGTGGGTCATTTCATTCGTTTTTAATTAGGTGCTGCGTGCGTTATGAATCAGTGATTAGTGAAAAGCGTGAGGGTTCTTGTATTGGACGCAAGGACACTGAATGAAGAGATCCCCCGCGTCATGACGTGCTTAGTAGAATTCTGTTCAATATAGATTTCTTTGTAATTTACACAAGGTAAACGTGTTTTATTCCATTACCTTATTCCTAATGACGTAAATTGATTTAGGAATCTTCTATACTTTCAGATATAGCTTAAGGAAAGAAGTAAATTAATTGGATTTTTTTTTTAAATACGGGATATGATTTATATATTATATTTAATTTGGAAATCCGTTTCTAATAATTTTATTGAATTTATAAGAGAAAGAAAGCTACGTTTTTTGAAATTAATTTTAAAGTATATTTTTATTAAACGTATTTGTAAACAAAAATTGAAACTAACCGAAGAACAATTATATGAAGAAGAAAAAAAAAAACTTCTGGATAATTTTATTTTCTAATTAAAAAGAAAACTCTTTGTCAACTCGTGCTGATGACCAAATCATTTAAAGAAATTATCATATATATCTATTTGTAATGTTAAGTATTTTAACAGCTATAACTATGTAAAACAAGACATGTAATCTATAATTAATTTCAGAATACGGCTTACTAAACATATTACACCTACACTATAAATCTTCTTATGGGAAGGGTTAGATTTCAAAGAAACCAATTGTTCATGAAGGACTCTTTTAAATATTATAAATATTATAAAAGACACAGTGGCCAACTAAAATCGTTTGAAATATTTTATCTAAATTAGTGATTTTTTTTCTTTTCCAGTTCCCATTTCAATTTTGTACCTGATATTTTATGACGTTTCCGGTACCGGAGCGATATATTTGTCAGCGGCTACATGGGACACTAGTTATTCATTAACTAGAGAGCTACAGAAAACATGGAGCGAGGACAGACTTTATTTTTCTTCTGTCTTATCAGCTATTTCAGGTCTTTATTGTGTTGTCAATGCTTTCCTTCGCATATACAAACGGATTATTGTGCAGCAAGTATCGGTAATGTATTTGTGATTTCGTTTTTTTTTAATTCAAGTTTTCTATTTAAATAGGGTATTTTAGGAATGTTTCAAATTTGAAGAAGACAGTTAGTAATTACAGCATCGCCTGAATCTAGATTCCAATTAAAGGGATATTTTTTTTTTTAATTTAATATCGAAAATATTCAAACAAAATTTTCTATTACACTGCGACGTGTTATCTTCGACGTATTTTCTAAAATTTCAATCTTAAAATTAATTGAGGTTTACTTCATAATAAGCCATTTAGAAATCATTAGTGTGGAATGTGATTAGTGCCAGAAAAACATATAAAAATCACGCTAATTGTGTGTTTACTGTGTGATAAATGAATTTTTCATTGCTCAATTATTACATCAACCAATAGAAGTTTTCCTGTCAAAAAATGAAGATAATTTATTAAATTAAATTAACATTCTTAATCAAAACTTTATTAACTGCAGACATTTTACATCCTACTGTGCATATTTTGCATCAAAACACCATTTCCTTTAAGATTACAATAGCAGTAATTTTTATGTGACATTTATGAAGAAGTAAAATCCGATAACAAGAGGTATTTTTTATCATAATTTATATGGAGATTTTGTTCAGCATAGCTTAATTCAGTGATTAAACGAGGTGGATATCTTTCTATATCGTCTTAAGGGAAAAAAATTATATTCTAGTGTTGAATTATTCTACCTAAACAGGGATTGGGGATAGATATCTCTTATTTCTCAGACTAAGAAAAATAATTTATACTTTAATAAGCTGCATAATTGTTGCAAAAGTTCATCTAAACATTTATTTTCGACATTTAAGTGAATGTCCTGAAAACTTTTAAACATTTTGATTAAGAATAAACAATTATTATCAACTGAATGTAGTTTTAAGTCTTTTTGTTGTGCATTCCAGCATGATATCATCTTACTAAAAATTAGTTTTTGTATCTTCATAAAACACTGTAACAATGATATTTAGAATTAAATAAAAAAAATTTAAAGTATTGCTTACGAGTAAAAAAGATCTGTGTTCTGTATTATTGATTTGGTGTATATTTCATTTACATAGACACATCGAAAATGGATTGTCCAGGTGTCAATTATTCATTGCTTTTTTTAATCAAGATTAATCGTTAATTTAATACACAACAACCACTTTGTAAGTTATATTGTATTGCCTGAAAATGAAAAGACATTACATTTTGTTGAAAAGAAATTTTACTAAGAAAAATAAATATTATTAAAGTTTCATTCTCTTTTGAATTAGTTATAAAAGTGAAAGTTCAAGATCTAGCGATGAGTGATTCTGAGAAATGGCTTCGGTATGATGCAAATATTTCCACAGTTTTCAAGGCAAGTACTTTCTAGATACAAATAATTCAACTTTCAAAAACACACAAGTAGGGAAAATCAAAAGCATGACATAAAGGCGAAAAATCTAGAAATATGTTGTTTATTTGTAAAGATTTTTTGATAAAGACCACTTTGAATGAGATTTAGAACGAAAATGTGTACTAAAACATTTTAAACTGTCTACTTTCATTATTTCAACATTCTTATTTCTCTGTAAATACATTGCATTACATAACATTTATTTAATTCAAATCATTTTTTCCGATATTATATTTTTCATTGTAAACTAAATTTATTAATTTTTTTTTTTTTTACAAATTTAATCTGTTTCTAGAAGAAAAAGGAAAAGAAACCCTCGGTAGATGAAATTATAAAGTATTTATATAACACACGAAAATAAATCGGATTGTCATGAAATTAAAAAGTATGCATCCAAACATAAAATGTTATATTTTATGATATAGAGACAATATTGTAGTAATTCAAGGAAGCATACAAAATTGCATTTATTGCATAATACTAAATAGAAGAACTTTTATGACTGACGGGCGTGTACAAATTGTAAAATAATTAAACATTTTAAATTGTACTTCAGAGATTATATCTATAATTAATTGAAAACTATCACTTTAGTATGCACATACTAATAGAAAACGTCCTTTATAAGTGACACACACCACCGCCTCGCTCTCACTAGATTTACAATTTATAATTTGTTTACATAATGATAGGTTTATTCAATATTCATTTGCATCTAAATATAAACTTTTTGGAAATAATTTATTTTAGAGGATTTCGCCAACTGGCTCCAAATCTTGAAAGAAGTCAATGACATCTATAATCACAAATCAAATCTTTCTTTGTGAATGTTCGCATGTAAAATCATGAAACGTGATTTTAGCGGTTACTTATGCATTAAACACGCATAGGTTGAAGTCGAAAATCAAATATACACCGGTACAGAGATCCAGAAGCTATGAAATTATTCTGGAAAATTACGGTTTTGTTCTAATTAACACACAGTGAAGATGGTTGACTTTATTACTGGTGTTATTTGGTGTTACAATATACAGAATGCATAGGCTCTGGTTGGTACGCGCATCAAATAAATGAACGCTGGTGTACAAAAAATTACAATCTTTGAAATGGCCCTGACAAGTGTCTTACACTTTTAAACAAGTGTTTCGACAAGTTAATTATATGAAGATTTTAAATCTGAATATACATTATAATATAAAAAGCCAGAGACTGCCTTTTAATGTATTCATTGACACGTCAGAAAATAGTTTCAAATGAAATAAAAACTTTAACATTTGAATCAACTGGAAGAAAATTTTAATAATAATAATTTATTATAATCCACTCAAAGGTTTCTCTAAGTTTATACTTACTTTATTTTTATTTATTTATTAATTATTTGTTTATTTTTGTTTTTGTTTTTTGTTTGTTTTTTTGGGGTGGGGGGGGGGTGGGGGGGTGCGCTGTATCAGATTATCAAGGCTGGAATATCTGTTGAAAAGTATATATTCCACATAGCCTTGTAACCATGTAATTATACAACGTTGTTTGGGAAATTGAGCATATTGATGCATAACATTTTATCAAAGTAATCATAACTTGTTGCCACTTTCCGAGCTTAGGCAAATTATCTTATAATAAGATTTTGCATCCAGTTAGTTCAATTTCGATCGTTTTCTTTCTCCTCTACAAAAAGATAATTTACATCAATTATTTGTAAAATATTTTAAAGCAGGAGTGCATGTGATATTTATAGGAAAAAAATGCAATAAAATCAAGATAATATTTTTGACGAAATTAATAGAGACTATCTTGTCCTAGAAACAAAAATAAAGATAAAAGAAAACAAAAATAATCATGTAACAACAGCAAAACATTAATAGAATGAATTTCATATCTACCCATGAAATGAATTTCATATCTACCCATGGAATGAATTTCATATCTACCCATGAAATGAATTTCATATCTACCCATGGAATGAATTTCATATCTATACCCATGGAATGAATTTCATATCTACCCATGAAATGAATTTCATATCTACCCATGAAATGAATTTCATATCTACCCATGGAATGAATTTCATATCTATACCCATGGAATGAATTTCATATCTACTCATGGAATGAATTTCTTCATATATATATCCATGGAATGAATTTCATATATACCCATGTTATATTGCATAACCTGGGTTAGAGCATCGCACGCTTAAACTGCTCCAATCCAGGTTATACAGTATATACTGTATACTGTTTTATACTGTTATACTGTATAACCTGTATAATAGGAAACTATTAAATTCATTCATAATAATTAATTCTGTTTGTATTGTGTCATACGATTGGATATAAATTGTACATTATTTCGTATAGCCTGCATTGCCTACGTCTCAGTAACTTATGTCAAAAACGTATTAATCTGCTTGATGACAAGTTTAAATTTTGCATAATATAAAGGCATTTTTGAAGGGAAATTGTCTTACTTTTTAAACTTATGAAGGTTAATAAAATTATAAGGACTAAATATAAAGATACCCAAGTTATACTTTTATAACCTGGGTTGGAACAGTTACCGCTTTTTTTGATAAAATCTTCATATATTCCTTAAATAATTTAAAATCTTCTTTCGTTTAGAATTAAAAACAAGACAATTAACCTAACTTATACGATATTAACTAAAACCTGTTATCAAATCAAATGGCGCGTTACAACCAGAATCAAATTATAATAATAAAAATAACTGAATAACTAAATCAGCAATCAATGAATGTAACAAAAATCAATGCAAAAAATATTAATTCTATGCTTATATTGATTGCAAAATGTTTTCAATCGCCGTTGTTATTTTATCACTTAATAATAATAATAATAATAATAATAATAATAATAATAATCACTAGATGAGATCTCGTTGCGAGCAACGAGTAGGTCTTCCGTCCGATTTTTCGATAAGATGAGATATGATTTTGACTATGATCTTTGTTAAAAGATAATAATATATAGACTTCCCTAATTAGATTTATTCTTTTGATTTATATAACTTTATCAAAGAGCTATAGATGACATGCTTTTGGCCCCTCTGAGCCCCTAGTTTCAGGGGTCAGCCCCTTTTTCTTGATATCAATTGAAAGGTCTTGTGATTTTGAAAACTTTTTGTTCAAGAAATATTCAGAGATTTCTTTTCGTTGTGGAGATATGCTGAATGGAAATATTTAGGGGCCACCCCTCCAAGTCCTTAATGGGGCCGTTTGACAAAAACTGAAAAAGTGCACATTGTTTAGAACATTATTCTGACCATCTTTTGTTCAGCATTGCATATCAAAATATTCCCCCTTTTCGAGATATAAAGCATCAAAGATTTAGCATTCTGGCCCCTTGTGACCCCTTGTTACGTAACGTATGATCAGAATCCTATCATATATTGTTGTAAATCGTTAAGATAAACATCTTTGCTTCAGTAATGTGTTAAAAATTATTGATCGTTGAAGAGTTATAGATGAAAGACTTTTGGCCCCTCTGAGCCCCTAATTTGAGGGATCAGCCCCTTTTTCTTGACATCAAATGAAAAGTCTTGTGATTTTGAACATTTTTTGTTCAACAACAATTCAGAGATTTCTTTTCGTTGTGGAGATATGCTGAATGGAAATATTTAGGGGCCACCCCTCCAAGTCCTTAATGGGGCCGTTTGACAAAAATTGAAAGGGTGCATATTGTTTAGAAAATTATTCTGACCATCTTTTCTTCAGTATTGCTTATCAAAATATTCCCCCTTTTCGAGATATAAAGCGTCAAAGATTTAAAATTCTGGCCCCTTGTAACCCCTTATTACGTAACATGTGATCAGAATCTTATCAAATATTGTTGTAAATCGTTAAGATAAACATCTTTGCTTCAGTAATGTGTTAAAAATTATTGATCGTTGAAGAGTTATAGATGAAAGACTTTTGGCCCCTCTGAGCCCCTAATTTGAGGGGTCAGTCCCTTTTTCTTGACATCAAATGAAAAGTCTTGTGATTTTGAACATTTTTTGTTCAACAACAATTCAGAGATTTCTTTTCGTTGTGGAGATATGCTGAATGGAAATATTTAGGGGCCACCCCTCCAAGTCCTTAATGGGGCCGTTTGACAAAAATTGAAAGGGTGCATATTGTTTAGAACATTATTCTGACCATCTTTTCTTCAGCATTGCTTATCAAAATATTCCCCCTTTTCGAGATATAAAGCGTCAAAGCTTTAAAATTCTGGCCCCTTGTGACCCCTTATTACGTAACATATGATCAGAATCTTATTATTTATTGTTGTAAATTGTTAAGATAAACATTTTTGTTTCAGTAATGTATAACAAAATATTGATCGTAAAAAAGTTATAGATGAAAGACTTTTGGCCCCTCTGAGCCCCTAACTTGAGGGGTCAGCCCCTTTTTCTTGATATCAAATGAAAGCACTTATCATTCTGCACAATTTTTGTTATATATGTTTTAACAAAATATTTACAGGTATAAAGATATGATAGAAAACTTGTCAAATTTTGCGAGATGCTTGTGAGCCTATTTTTCGAGCCCACGCGAGCTTTGGCGCCTTTTGCGCTGGAAAGATATGGACGCAAAAAAGCATATCTACAATCCCTCCTCTACCTTCACTGAGAATCTCAACTCAATATCTTTATTCGTTTTGGAGTGATTACCAGGACAAGCCGACCCTCTGAAAATCAGATAATTGTCTATATCTCACCACCGGAAGTGACGTCATCAATATAAAAAATTTCCAATAAGGTTCAGATCAATATCTATCAGATCTGAAAGTTTCATGAAAATCGACCAAGTCGTTTCCGAGAACTCGCGTGCACAAAATCGGTAAGAAAAAAAAAGAATAATAATAATAATAATAATAATAACTAGATGAGACCTCGTTGCGAGCAACGAGTAGGTCTTCCGTCCGATTTTTCGATAAGATGAGATATGATTTTGACCATGATCT